CTCTTTCTTTCATTTGCTCTACCGTGTCTCCACTTTATCTGATCTGCTCTCTTTCTTTCGCAGCCCATTTTCTGTCTTTCTCACCTTCATGACATTAAACAGAACTTCCTGTCCCAGGCTGTCCTGGCCTTTGAAGAAGTCATGTTCTGGATATGTGCGCGCAATATCTCTGCGTATGAGTTTCTCACAGGGTGAGGACATCTTTAACAGTTCAGAGTACTGATTCTTTACTGGCATGTCAGTGGCATTACATAATAACTGCCAAACGATTGCTCGGAAATGATGAGGAATGCCTTTCCTTAATAGCTCCTGCAGATAGAGAGAGGGTAAGGTAGAAAATAAAGAGATGAACGTACAAGTTTCAGATCCTTTTGTCTAGTGTTTATGATGTGGGTTAACACATTGTCATTCAGATTCTGAATGAAAAAAGGACCAATCAATCACCTTCAGAAGTTTGTCTTTCTTTCGTCTCCACTCATCCCACTCATTGACAATCCGTCCCCACAGGATCCAAGTGTCTTCTTCCAGATGGGACAGGTTAGAAGATGCGGATGAGCTTGACACCAGAGAGGAGCCACTATTCCTCCGAGATCCACTCATTGAGCGCATGGATTTGGAATCTGCTTCTAGCAACCTGAATGCAACACAATAGATGGAGATCATGATAGGCAGGAAGTGGGTACAAATTCTGTCAGGGAGGTTAAACCTATACTATTGTTCAAAGGTTCAGAGTCAGTAAGATTGTTTTCAAAGAAATCAATAGTTTTATTCAGCAAAAATTCAGCTTTGCATCACTGGAATTTAGTAAAAAACAAACAAAAAAAAGATAAATAAATACCGTACTGCACAGGGCTCCAGTGTGCGACCAAATGGGTGCATATTGCGATCATTTTTATTGTTTTAGTTATGCAAACAAAAACTCCTTTTATTTGTTGTTTGTTGATTTTAAATGTAAAACTTGGTGAAATTATTTATGTGTCAGTACTCTTTGAACATTTCCAGCACATTTTAACAATACCGTGATAATAATGATAACCGTGATCATTTTGGTCACTATAATCGTGATAAGAAATTTTCATACCGTTACATCCCTAGAGTCAGAACAGCCTGCATTGTAGTCTACTCTACCAGGATCAGTAAAATGTGCTGCATAAAATGTGCTGCACACATCTGAATATTTGGGTTGAACTGTTCTGGAACAGTGTTGTAAATACAACTTAACCACTGATTTCTAGTCGTGTCCATTTTTGGAAAGCCAAACACAGTAGTTTCGCTTTCACAACGAAACACATTGTCACACACGACGGCCTAGAGTGAGCAGAGGCCGGGGGCTAGAGTGAGGAACGGCCGGAGGGCTAGTGTGTGCAGAGGCGGCGGGCTTGAGAACGGCGCGGCCAGCGGATTCGACGAAGGAGGCTTGCGGCAACCACATGTGACGACCCCGGGCTGGACTCACATGGTGAAAGCCGATCCGGTGATCCACAGCGCAAAGTTGTTGTATTTCCTCAGCAACCAGCACAGATCAGCTCCAGGCATGACGAAGCAGATATCATCCTCTTTTGGAAGGCCAAACAATGTAGTTTCACTTTCACAACGAAACACACAGCGCCTTCACGACATGGCGGCGGCAACAACAATACTACAGCGAGAATAAAAGTTACGCCTTCTTTCTTTGTGTGAACATTTGGGCGGCGTTATGCAAATCTTCCCAGATAGTGAGGTAGATATGTGGGGGCGTGTTAGAACGAGTCGTTTTAGGTAGGCGTGGCTGACTCTTAACTTTTATAAAGAATATCTCTTTGGATTTGAGACTTTAGTCTGTGCAACTTCACAGATCTTCTTTATGCACCAAGAGCTTGTAACACTCCAAAGAGAAAGGAAAAATTAAAATCGTATCATATGACCCCTTTAATAGGACTTATACATCTCCTGCATAAATTATCACCACTGTGTCCTTGAATTTACTTGAGTCAAGAGAACTTGTCTAAATGCAAATTCGCAATTACTGCATTTACACTGTGCATTGGTGGTGATTAGGATCAAGAACATGGTCTTTTAGGGTACAATCTGCAGGATGAGTTAACAACAACAATTTTTTTTCATTTTCTAAAGAAAACTGCTGCACTGTCACTTTGCTTGAACTGAGGTGCCATGGCGATCTGTCATGGCCCATTAAAGAGCATCAAAACGTTCGTTATTTTAACATTGTTTGAATTTTTTTAAATAACATTTTGTTATAAAATTAACATAATATGAAAGCTGAGACTTTGTTTCATCTCAAAGGATCACACATCAACTGAAAACAGCCTAGACTAAAATAACAATTCTTGGGATTTAAGAATCGATATTGGTTCGTCAAAATGAGAATCGATTAAAATGGAGTAATCCATATATTTTTAACCCAGCACTAGTTGCTAGGTGGTTGCAATGTCAAAAGAGCCTCTATAATATTATAGAGGTTTAATATTAGATGATAAACATGTTAATTTCGCTGGGTGTGCACTGTGCTTCTGAATGGCTGATATTTGAGTCATTCTGTTACGTTGTCATGTCGCGTCTGGTGTGGACATGCTGTTACGCAGAATTTCCAATTGCACTGATTGCTATTGAAATGACTGGATTTAGCGTGCGAAATTTCATCAAGCTACGGTATATGTGACCTTTAGTGCATGAGATATTTTTCTCTGTTATATTGTCTAGTAGGCAAACATAAATGAACACGTAAGTCTGATCACTCCTAAAGTACGTAAAATGTCATGTCCATAGCACACACTGTGTGGGACACAAAGTTTGTTCAAATTCCTAGTCAAGTATGAGTAATAGTAAGTGATGGCTGCCTTGGCATAGACCACTAAACACAATACAAATGCTTCTTTATACACATCTGTTGATGCCAACACCGCTTGAATTCAACATACTGTATTTCAGGCAGACTATATCGGCTGAATAATAGTGTAATATAATAATAATAACAATGTTTTGTGAAATCTCAAGGAATCCTGGCGATCTGTCTGACAGAAGCACAGAGAATTTTTAAACAAATTTCTACGACCGCAGCTACTGTCCTCTTAAATGGCCCATTAAAGTTCTACATTCAGCATAGTAACTGTTGTTATTGTAGTTGCCAGGTAACCACCACAACTGATTAATAGCGAAAGCTTGTTACATATCAGCTGTTACAGGAAGAGGAGACTAACTGCTAAGAGTTTGCCACTCACAGGTCAAATGATAAACCACACGCATAGCTTTCAGTCTCAAGCATGCATTGTGTTCCCTTTGTTGAGGCGTTGCTACCTTCAGAGTGATGTCAAGTATCAAAGCACAACACACTATGTGCATGTCTGCATGACATATGCATATAGTGCATTGCACTTTAATACTCGCTTGACATTTGCTCTGTGAAATTACCCATTTGCTCACCCTGAAGTTGTTTCAAATACTCACATGTTGTTTCCACACAGGTTTGGAACCTTTTTTTTTTCTTCCATTGAAGGCAAAATGTGATTAATAAAAAGTATCCTGGCCACTCCTTTGTAATATATTCTAAGTGAATGAGAACTGGGTCTATCACGCTCTGAAATTACAAAAAAGTACATATAGAAAAGTCTACACTCATTATATTCTTTTGAAGTCATATGATAGCTTTGTGTGATAAACTTAAAAATAAAAAAAAATTTAAAAAAGAAAGAAAAAAAAGGAGAACATTTTTAGGTTGGCATTATTCCTTTTCAGTGAGCTGTTAACCGCTGAGACCAGACCATTGAGTTAATGAGTTTAACCCGAGAACCGGATAAATCAGATTTATGAACAAAACATTAAGAATGGATCTGAGTGAATGGATTATCAAAGAATAAAAAATGTAAAGCAGGTCGGCACCAAGAGTCCTGGCTCGCTGACCTTTCCCGATCCTGTTCCACCTCCTATCGAAATAAAGGCAAAAAAAATAACTCTTTAAATGTAAAAAAATGTAACGCAGGGAATTTATACTAACCTTTGGTTGTTGATTGGATGGAGGCAGATCTGAATGTGAGCTTGCAGTCGATTGTAAAAAAAGGGGCGGAGTTAAAGTGGACTCAATTATCGCAGAAGTCCGGCATACGTCACCAGAGATGAGTCTGTTGTTTGACCGGTAGATTGAGTTATGACATTTTGATTATAAATTACGAGGTTAACATTTTGACATTTTGGTACGTGACATTCTGGTCCTCATTCAATTTCATTATATAGAAAAAAGAGCAGCCAGGATATTCATAAAGAAAGAAAGTCATGCAATTTGAAAAAACATGAGGGTTGGAAAACAATGGCACGTTTTTTATTTTTGGGTGAACTCTATCTTTAAAGGGATATTTCACCAAACAACGAAAATGTTGTCATCATTTTCTCACCCTCATGTTGTTCTAAACCTTGTTCTGAGTTTTTTCTTCTTCTGTGGAACATAAAATTTTTTTTTTTGAAGAATGCTGGCAAAACGTTTGCACGTAACATTGCTCTTGTTTTACCTGTTCTGTTCCTCCAGTTTGGCCAGAAGCTCAAGCTCATCTGGACTGAGGTTCTCGGAGTCCGCCGGGGAAGCTGCTGGGGCAGAGAGCGCAGCATCATGGGAACTGGAATCTGGACTGAGCACTGGGCTGCCAGCTAAAGGAGGGTCAGTCTCCAGACCAGGAGGCGAGTTGAGGTCCTTCTATATATAAAAAATAAATAATAATAAAACAAATTGTATAACCCCCACATTTTTGAACGATAGTGTGTCTTTTAAAATGATGCCACTAAGTAGCCAAACAGTGATTACTTCATTTTCCCCAGCACTCATATCAGACCAATACCTTGCAGTTTTGAACTTAATATGCATCAGAAAGTCATAAGACGTCTATCCCTAGTGAAAAAGAAATATTCAGGGATAGTTCACCCCAAAAAACAATTATCCCATGATTTACTCACCCAAATATTTATAAAAAGAATGTTTCGCTTCAGAAGGCCTTTATTAACACCCCGGAGCCGTGTGGTGTAGTTTTATGATGGATGGATGCAGTTTTTTCGGCTTCAAAAACAGGGGCACCATTCACTGCCATTATACAACTTGGACGAGCCAGGACAATTTTAAATATAACTGCGATTGTGTTCGTCTGAAAGAGTAATGTCAGATACGCCTAGGATACCCTGAGGGGCTAATTTTCATTTTTGGGTGAACTATCCCTTTAATTATTATTTTTATATCAGTAAGTCTCGAGCAATATCTCAGTAAATATGTTAATAGATTTCAACTATAATTAGTATGAAATAAATGTTTTTTAAATATATAACTTTTTTTATTGGTAAAAAAAACAAACCATACTCGCCACCTTCTGTTCACATTTGTACCGCAATTAATCTCAGTTCTAACACAGCCAAACTGCTAGATGTCTCTGTCGACCGCAGGGACAAAGTGCAGAACAATCTCCTCATGTACTGTACACATTTGGAGAAGCAGCAACGGTGTTTAGTGGAATTTTCTTTTAAATTTAGTTGTCACGTCATGTTGTTATATGATCTAACATATACAGTATTATAAAGTTTTTGGATCTCTAAATTAATTTATGGTACATGGCTATAATTTCATTTACTCAACATTATGTAAACATAATAAACTAAAAATGTATATGTTTGTTTCTGTTTCATAAACAGTTAACAGTAAACTAATCACAGTTAAATTTAAAAGAATTCACCATGTGCTTGCATGATAAAACGCAACAAAAAAGAAGTGCAATGATATTTATGCATTATATATATATATATATAATAAGTTAAATATATAAGTATATTTTTTATTTAGTAAAAAAAAAAAAATGTTCAAGTGTTCGTTAACAAATAATAGAATATTCTTGTTGAAATTTCTCTACACTTTAAAGGGGTGGTTCACTGGTTTTATTCTAGACTTGATTGTGTTTATGGGGTGCAGTCTACCATGTTAATGCTTAGTTTGTTAAAAAACGCATTATTTTTCACATAATTTACCTTTATTCCACACCGCTCTGTCCCTTCTCTGAGAAACGTGCTGATCATTTCCTTCTCATTATATATATATATATATATATATATATATAATAAGTTAAATATATAAGTATATTTTTTATTTAGTAAAAAAAAAAAAATCTTCAAGTGTTCGTTAACAGATAATTGTAATATTCTTGTTGAAATTTCTCTACACTTTAAAGGGGTGGTTCACTGGTTTTATTCTAGACTTGATTGTGTTTATGGGGTGCAGTCTACCATGTTAATGCTTAGTTTGTTAAAAAACGCATTATTTTTCACATAATTTACCTTTATTCCACACCGCTCTGTCCCTTCTCTGAGAAACGTGCTGATCATTTCCTTCTTTTATGAAGCCCCTCCCTCAGAAATAGGCGATGGGCTCTGATTGGTTAGCTAGCCCAGTGTGTTGTGATTGGCTCAACTGTCTCTAGTGCACGTCTAAATGTCCCGCCCCTCACCTCAGCGGCATGTGCTCCGGTTGTATTGTAAACAACGGCATCGTTAATATCGCTTATCAGTTGGGGGAAGTCGTGGCCTAATGGTTAGAGAGTCGGACTCGTAACCCAAAGGTTCGAGTCTCGTACTGGCAGGGATTGTAGGTGGGGGGAGTGAATGTACAGCGCTCTCTCCACCTTCAATACCACGACTGAGGTGCCTTTTGAGCAAGGCACCGAACCCCCAACTGCAGTGCACTTTGGATGGGATAAATACAGAGCACTAATTCCTAGTATGGGTCACCATACTTGGCCACATGTCACGTCACTTTCACTTTCAGTTTGAGCCCGATTGAGAAGCAGAGGATATTATTGAAGAGGATCGTGCAGAACCTGTGTAAACACGGCTTTTAATGGTTTTTACACAGCTATGTTTTTTGTTTGTTGTCGTCTCATACTTTTAGATATGCTGTTGTTTGTAAATGCTACTGCTTATGTTAGCTTTTAATATACGGTTTTATATATATATAATGCTTTAATACAGTACGGCAACTGCACGCGCGTCCATGTTTAATGCTTCTCATATGTGAAAATAAGTGTATAATTGGAACAGTTCATTGTTGGAGCTGAGCTGGATGAGAGAGAGAGAGAGAGAGAGAGAGATGCAGAGCGTGTGCAGAGCAGAACGACGCGAGGAACAGTATTAAGAACCGCTGCTTTAGAACCTTGATTTTGAAACTTCAGACAGAATTCTTGACAGAATCGCGTTTCATATATGAATAGATTTTTACGTGCACCTCTAGTTTTCTCTTCCTCCTCTCTAAAGAAGTGCAGCATGGCCTCGCCCCCTTTGTTGCCTTTTCCTGAGGGCAGGGTTTATCTGGGTTTGTTACGTCATGAACCCGGGAAGTAACTCGTTGTAGTCCCTACCAGCCATTTCTGTAGGCATTAAACTGCCAGAATTTTAAAAGACGAGATCTCTTTTTGCATTGAACTTTCAGCTTCGTAACTTTGCAGATATTGTTTATGCTCAAACAGCAACATTACACACTAACTAACGTTAAAAAAGTAAAAATCGCAATGAACCACCCCTTTAAGAATACTCGCACATCCCCTACCGAACCGTACCGAAACTGTGACCCCAAAAGCCCAATACATGCCGAACTGTGAAAATCTTGAACCGTTACACCCCTATTCAATGCAGTCTATGGGCTGACACTACTATGCCTACAGTTTGATTCCTACACATACTGATTAACAAAAAAACTGTATACCTTGAATGCACTGCAAGTCACTTTGGATAAACGTCGGCCAATATCATAAATGTAAATGTAAAATGCAAATGTACAAAACATGCCACAAGCATATGGCATCTCCCTTTAACACACACACACACACACACACACACATTAAACCGCTCATTCTTCCATTTTTGCAGAACGCAATAGAAACAGAAATATAACCCACAGCTCAAAATAAAAGTACAAGATGAAACCTTTTTAAACACAGTAAACACACACTGTGGACAATGGCAGCATTCATATCAGAGGAGCAGACCAATCAAAAGAACCATTAACAAGCGCATGAATCCAATCCCCCCCGACCAAGAAAACACACACACACTCTCATCTCCAGTGCGATCACAACCGAACACCACCGCAACGTCCTGAACCTGGAGAGACAGTTTTCATTTCAAATCTGAAGTGTTCTTTTTTTGGATGATAAAATGTCAAAAACTGATGTATCTTACGGTTGATTTTCCTTTTGCAGGGTTTCTGCAGGATTTTTAAGCTCAAATTTAAGACCTTTTTTTAAGAACTGCACAAATAAAATTAAAACCATATGAACGGGGTAGGGCAATGTCTATAGTAACATATTAAATTGTAAAATGACTGTAAAAAGCATGATTAATCTTCTTATCTATCCACCAGTTCACATTTACAGCTCTGTGTTTTTGCAGGGTAAAAACATGGGTCAACTTTCACATTGGTCTGAACAAAAACCCCAATACTGTGTTCCTGCAATACCAGAGGCTGCAGTTTCAGGACTGCATTTGTAGGACCGCATTTCTACTAGGACCCTATTTTTTTGTGACAGCATCATCTAGCCAGTTCTATTCCAACAGAAGAGACCTGATTCAAACATCAAACAAAGAGATGCAAAGACTAGATCCATGGAAACTATTCAATTTTTATCTTTCCATCTTATTTTTGATGTAAGAGCTGGCGTGAACTTGAGTGCGTGAGGTGATGTCAGCAATCTCCATTTAGCCTATTTAGCTGCACAAAACAGTTCACTGTGCTGATGTGTGTGTGCTTGTATTCAAATTATTTTACATTTATTAATGTACTAATAAACACACTAATTTGTACCACAATTGTTTTAACGTTTACTGCACTTAAGTGGGTCAGACATCAGACGTGAAGTGCTGCGCTGAGGCTAATGAACAAGTCTCACAAAGACACAAGTCTTTCTTTCTAAGAAAACTATACATAATTAAATAAATTAAGTTAACTATTTCAAGAGGGTTATCAACGGGTATGTTTAGGGTTAGGAGTTGGTTTGGACAATAATTAAGTGTATACAAATAAACAACTACATAATTCCTTAAAAATAATAATATACAAAATTGAATAGCAAGTGCTATAGAATAGTATGAGCTGCTAATATATGCAATAAAAAAAAAAGACTTGCCTATATTGTCCTAGAACTGCGATCCTGAATAAAACAGGGTTATTGAAAATGCACATTAATTCTCTGCCAGCAGGAGGCGCTTTTGGAACGGCAGAAATAGAACTGTTTCCCCGGTAACAGCAGAACACAAAGCAGCACGGCACCAGACTGTGAAACGAGCAGCGCTCGTGTTTATTTAATAAAATCATAGCCTTTTGAAGTTTAATCATCACATTAAGCCATATCGCAATTCTGGTCTTTCCGTCCCCAAATTTAAGACCTCCTGAAACCATAATTAAGACTTTCTTGTACAATTTAAGACTTTTTAAGGCCTTAAATTTGTTACAACTAGGGCTGGGCGATATAGCTAAAAAATGTATCAACAATATAATGTTTCATATCGTTCGGTATCGATAATTATTGACATTTTTCAAAGTTTTTTTAAAACAAAGAGCAATAGAAAAAATTGTTTACATTTAACCACTGTATTTTTCAATTAACTCAATTTATTGAGACAAACAACATTTTTTTTTGTTTTAACAGTCAAACACAAAATAAAAATTAAACAAATATGTAATTTCTAATGTTTTATATTCAGATTAAATAGGTTAAACTTTTGGCTTGTTTCCCGAAGCCACAGGAGGGCGCAATGAGCAAAATAATGCAGCACATTAAATGGTCAACGCAAGGAAAT